TAGAAAAGCCGTTCTTCCTTCCGACCCCACATTTTTTGGACTCAGAGGATGCGACTTCGATGCATTAATTTGTGTCAGAGTTAAGTAACAACGAGAGTGGCCGTCCAAATGCACGCCTCATGGGAGAGGTCTGGATGGACGCCATTGTCTGAAGGGATAAATGAAATCCGAATCCATGTTGCGCCAAAATTCTATGAATCCCCTTTACAGTTGTTTAAAAATATAACCTCCTCCTCTACCCAACCATTTCGTGCTGAGAACAAAGGCAATAGTGATAAAGAAAAGGGATGGACTCGGCGACTAAAGGTTTGTTTGAGAAACCCTCTTTCTCTTTTTTCATAACGAGGCAAATTTTGAGATGTCTCTAATATGATATCGTTAATGGTAAATGTTGCCATACTTTAAAGTTTATTAATTGTTTGTTCAAATGATCCCTTTGGGAGCACCCTTCCACTAGCTGCCAGTAGATTTCGACCTAATCAGAAGCACCTTTAGCTTCGATGAGGGGTAAAGCATATGACTGGCAAATTTACCATCACCTGATTTCGTTTGGCCTGGTGAGGTTAATGTCATGATTTCGTGTCACTTCTTTATCCCAGTTTGACTTGTGCATTAACAGCAAATGTGTTGTTGAATTTATGGTTAGACAAGTCTTGATTTGCTGCTTTTGAGTGTGCGCATGTCATCCCGACCCTAGGATAAACCATACCCGTACAGGTGTATCGGCGTACATCAAGACTAGGCATTTTTTTGTTGTGTTGGTCTGCAATATCTACACGCATGAGCAAATTGGCTATACATAGATGGTATTCACCTTTTGCGAACACTTGATTTTGTTTGGCCATCGTATCGCAATGGTTTTGGGACACCTTTTGGCAAGATATAACTTGTCCTGGTCGCTTTTCTTGCTCCCTATTAGGACATCACTCAAATAGTGCTCCCACAAAGCACATGTTGAAGTTAAATTTGCTTTTCTTGAAACAATGCTTTGATTTACATTTGCAACCTCCGTTTATACATTAGGAATGGTTCAGTCCACTCATTTAGCAGTATAAGGGGCACATTTTGAGACTGCTCTTTAGCCTGTGAGAACCCATCTTTTTGCAACTTCAGGCAGATGTTCAACTCTTCCATAATATCCTCTCTCCTCTGCATGGCTAACCCTCTGGCCTGAGATCCCCTATCAACTAGGCCTCGTGGCCAATGCAGTTGAAGGTGTTTCCCCTCTGATGAATGATAACCTCAATTCCGCTGCTGTTCATCAGTTCGTGGGGCTGCTCCTACACTGCGAAGGGGTAGACGTGAGCACCGAGTCTGCACATTAAATTCTCTAAGCCGATGATATTTGCCTCATCATATGATCGTGCCAATAATGGTTGTAATTATCAAAGAAAAACTTTGGCCGCTTTCCGTTACTTAAAGAATTTTCACTGCCGACCTATAGGAAAATCATCAGCTGCATTGGCATACGAGTGTATTTGATGGCCTGGGATTAGTCATTCATAACACGTGTTGAATCCGTTTGTTTTTTTCCAAATCCATTCAACCATTCATGAAACTCCAGACCCGCAGAATACATCCATTTGGATTCGCATCCACTTCGGTTTGATCAAAGTTGGCCCTCCCACTCTGCAAGGTACAAATCTTATTCACGTTTTGATTTTGCATAAAAGATCTTAATTGGACTAAAACGATTATCTGCCATTAATTTACATTTTGAGGCCTCACTTAGTGCTAATACAAATGTCCGTTAATCGAGGCTCGGAAATGGAAGATTTGAAATTTTCGGGGGTTATAGTTAAGTCAACGTGGGATTTCATTTTGGTCCCAAGCATAGGTGCTCACAGGAACTCGATTTGGTTGGTTGGTTTGGTTGGTTTCCCGGACGACATTAGATTAGTACTTTACTGAAGCGCTTTTGCACTAAGTATTTCGCTATTGCTTCGGATACCTTCCTTTGACCGTGGAATTGCTGAAGACAAGTATTTACGGATTCCAATGGCAGATAGTGTTAAAAGCACGCATATTCGGTTGAAAAAAAAACAGCCTGTTCGACATGGGAATCCGATTTATTGGTGGGAGTGGCCTGTCCTTTGAGCCTAGTGCTATACCGCCATTGAGTTGTCTGCTTGGTTGGTTAAAATTCAAACAGAGCGGTGCACCTTGAGGCAAGCGGAACAGAGTAAGCGAACAATTAGGCAGCTGAGTCGAACCCATAACTCATGCTAGTAATGCGCCTTGAAGTTTTTCCTACCGCTTTATGTAGCCAAGTTTCTTATTAGCTTTGGTGCATGAACTTGTTTGAATGGGTTACTTATTTAGTAAGGATTCCTTAACTTGATGTAAGCGTCACTGCATCATATCTGGTGTGCACCACAGATTGAGTTAGCTCAGATCTTGCCAAATTTTAAGTTTTCATTCGTTCATAGGAGAGAGCTTCCACATTCATCGTGATTATTACCTCAAACTTCTATTCATCGTTTTCTCATTCACTGTAGAAAATTAACAGCACATTCAAGATGCAAAATAAAAACGTTCAAATCTCGGTGGCGAGATAATTTTCACTGTTCTGCTAGCATTCCTTGCAGCACCATCGCCTAGCTTTAAAATACGCATGAAATGCCAAGACCGTCAATTTCCATTCCCGTATGGTTATGGGTTTGGTATCCCCTAAGTCGTCCCCTCTATGTCATTTCTCCAACTGATACTGTACTATCATTTCTACAAGTTACGATACCACTATCAACTTTTTAAAGCCACTAAACTATGATTTATCTTCAACTATGAATAAGCAAAACACGGAATTGGGGTACTTGTCGACTGTCAAAGTATTTGCGATCCTCCTCTTAGGTGTCCATAGATGCGAAGCCGCCCGTTACAGCTACTTATCTTCGTGGCAGTTTCAACAAGTGGATGCGACAACTGAGGTATTTGCACTCTACGTTGTGCTACGCTTGATGCCGCAGTCAACACAGTCTTCCTTGAAGCTGCAGGGTAATGGCACTGTGAAAAACAGCCCGCAATTCACCTATAAGTGGGAAGCAATTCGCATGCACCTCGTCATTTGAATTTAAAATAGCCAGTGATACTTAACGCATGCCCCGATACTCGTCGTTCAAAGGTTTTACCAACCTGTAAAACATTCTAACCACAGTGGTGATGTAACTGGATCCGCCTTACTTACTTAAAACTATGCTGACTATTAGGGCTATTTCGATGAGAGTAAGCGGTAAAAGCCAAACGCTGATGTGTGAAGAGCTGATAGTTTGCCAAGCTGTATTGAATTACAGGGAGAATTCCTCTCTCGAGGTTACGATTACCTGCTGAAGTACAACCTTTGGGTCATGCTGGTGATGCTAGTAATGCGTCACAGCATAATATCACCGAAAGCACAAATTCCGTGATTTTGCAGTATTATTTTTTTAACATTTGTACCTTTCTGAGACAAAGTGGTGATAGAATACTTGTATCAATGTTGAAGGAGAAGACGCGAACCTTTGGCACGGTCTTAAGTTCAGCCCACTCAACAATAGTAAGATTGTAAACAATATGACAGCAATTGTATGGCGGCTTTTAAAATTAACGAGTGTTGACCCGACACTAGTCAAGAACGGATAAAAATTGAGAAAAAGAGATCTGACACAGGCTCGTGTTAAAGGTATTCGTGCAATTTTATGCTGCCAGCTATAATAAGTGAATGTAGAAGGGACCCACCAAGACGAAGCTTTCAAAAATGGTTGTTAATATCTTCTCAGTGGAACACGGAATTGAAGTATTTGCCAACCAAAGCCCTTCTGGTGCAAAAGCAAAAGCACATGAGCATAACTCACACCACAGAAGTCTATCGCAAACGGTGAGGACTAGAGGTAACCGATAAAAAGTTTAATTTACTTTCCGCCGCCAACACCATTTTGCACTGAAACGCATAAGGAATGGCCGTAATGGTTTGAAGGCAAGCCCACCCGACAGAGGCGAGATAGCCACCAAGATGACCGCCATTCATATGGACAGTAGAATAAGCAGCCTTACAACCCTAACTTAAAAGAAGAGGAACATACTGCAATGCCTCATATGCGTAGACAAACCTCCAGGCCGAGCCAAATCATAATCTCTCAGTTTTTTTCTACAATACATGAATTCGACCCTACTTACCGCTTTCTTACACCCAGTGGGAAGTCTCGGAATGCAAAAATGCCTCAGACTTCCCACTAGATAAAACGCATTAAGTTAGTGAATACTTACGTGGACAAGGGCAAAGCTTATGTCCAAGTCGCCGCCAGATATCCGGCAGTCACACAAACACGATATAACACGAAACAATCGAATGAATGCTGACGCCCACCATTATCAACCATTCTGTTCTCTTGTCATATAAGGATATTGTTGACAACGGAAGCTATGAACGAGTTGGTACCTTACCAATATAAAATAGCCTGACCACATAAATAATTTATGCTTCATGTAGTACTTTGTTTGTGGCCAGTTAGTGCCTGGCGGTTACTTTGGTAGTCGTCTTTCCCGTGCGCGCGTGGACTGGTCAAGCCACGATCCAATCCCTTCATATCCTCTTAGGATGGGTGTGTTCAGCCCAAACCAACCAATCAATCAATGTCTTCCTCTGGGAGTAATGTTTTCAAAACTTCAAGTCGACAAATTTGGACATGATCAACAGTGAGGTGACATTGGACCAAAGGTGTTGTGGCGGAGTGAAATACTTGTACAATGCTGGTTTTGTAGAATTCGTCGATCGTTTGTTTAAGTGGATAGTCCCAATTTTGGTCTTCTCCAAATCTGATCAGAAGAGCTGTATTAGACTAATTTGGAATGAGATATTTTATTTGAATGCGCAACGTTTAAATTAAGTTCGTCTCTAACAAGACGAAATAGAAAATAGTAAAAAAGCATGTGCAGGTCAAAAAATACTGCGCCAAAATAATTTTAAACGCGACAGTTGCTTGTTTGAACGCACTGGTCTTGCTGGCTGTTTCGTTTGTGTTAAGATGTCTGACGAAGGTGTTGTTCTAGGAGACGTCGTCGAACGTATCAACGAAGAGGATGGAACACAGAGTCCTCAATCGAAACAGTCAATGTCGATATTCAGGTGAGGAAGTGGTCAACTTACTCTCTTGTCAGTCCCTCTCAAAGTGTTCATCGTCCTGGTGTGCCTCAGCCTTTTCGTCTTGGCATGAGACCGCCCGTCATGCCTCCGATGGGCTGTCGTGGTCCGGTAATGCGGGGTCCGCGTCCTATGGGCATGAGGTACACATTTGGTTTGGGTAACCAAGTGCTGTAGGGTTGGTCCACTTGGAATGCGGCCCCCTGGTATGCCAGGTTACAGAGGTCCACCCAGACCCTTTGACGGGCCGCCGCGACCTCCATTTGATATTGCGCATAGAGGACCTCCTAGGTATCCTCCGCAGCGTTTCCCCATCAGGATGAATGAGGGTGATCCTAGCGGTGAGGGTATGGATGGATACTATGACCAGGAGTGTTTCCCGGAAGATTTTCAGCAAATGCCACCAGGTATGCGTCCTCGTGTTCCACCGCCTCCAAGGGGATTCGGACCACCGCCTGGACCCTTCATGGGTGGTCCTCCATGCGCGAGACCAATGATGAATGGAGGTCCAAATGGACCTGAAATGGGACCACCCGGTTATGGTCCCCCAAGGACAGGCTTCATGGCTCCCCCAAGAAGTGTGCCTCCTCCTGGAGCTGCATATCCTCCTGGGTCGCCCAACCAGCAAGGTCTTCCATCATACGATGGTAGAATTATTTTTTACCTGATGCGTTTCGCGAGGCGTTATGTTTGCGTAACTCAAGGTGAATATGTGCCACTTAGGTCAATCGGGAGCGCCGCCGCCACCGACTACTGGACCTTCGCACCAATATGGAATGTCGTCGCAATCTGCTGTTTCAGCAGGTGGCGACATGTCCCAGTCAGCGCAGGAGGTTGACGTTTCATCTCCTAGCAATGTACCACAACCTGGTGGACCGCTTCTGCCGTCAGGGCCGTCTGACACTGATGTTTCATCCACCATTCATTCTGGGCAAATACCACCTAGTTCTTTGCCACCATACCAAATTCCACCGTATGGTAGCTCACAAGCCGTTTATCAGCCATCATTGTCCAGTGGGCCACCTGGGTCCTTTATGCCAATGGCTTTTCCGCCGTCGGGAGTTTCACCCATGATGCATGTTGGGCCTATGGGGATGTACAACATGCCACCGCCTTCACAACGTGGGGTTCCACCAAGCAATTTTCCTGTACCACCTCTACCTGGACAGGCGCCAATGCAGTCGTTGGGAACTTCAGCCTCATCGTCTAATCTGAAAGAAGAAATATGGATTGAAAATGTCTCTGCAGACGGCAAAGTCTACTACTACAATATGCATAGCCGTGAAACAAGATGGGATCGTCCTGATAATGTTACTATAATTAGACAGGGTGATGTTGAGAAACCTGGAAGTGTTCCGTCGTCACAAGCTTCTACCGTCGGCCAATCTTCGAGCATCCCCATCCAGGCGAACCCACAACCTGTAAAGCCGCCTGAGGTTGCTGCATGGACTGAGTATCAGAGTGGGGATGGCAAAGCCTATTTTCACAACAGTCAGACCGGTCAGACAACGTGGGAGAAACCGCAAGTTCTCATCGATTGGGAAAGTATGGGTTGGTATTTTGGAGTTTATCAGTATTTCGTTGGTCTTCCTTGGAGTTAGTCCGCAGCCTTTGTTTTTTACTTAGATGGATCCAAAAGTATGGGTGACCCTCCGAACAAGGCGTTAGCTGCACCGATCTCATCCACAGGCTCCCAAGACAAGGTATGCATTTGATGGTTTTAACGTTATGCTTTAAGGCGATGGGATTCTTACTGTGTGGAAGTCTTGAGGCTTCTGAAGATCTATGTCATTACCATCAGACCGCTGGTATATCAGCGATCTTGTTTTTCAGAAAAATGCATTTTAACATCTAGATAGTGTTTGGAGGTGGTGTCAATGCGTGTGTTTGAGGTGTTGAATCCTTTCGATTCTTGGTGGAGTGCATTCCTTGGCGGTGCTTTCGCGCGGGTCGCTAAACGTGTTTTTCCATTCCAGTCTGACTCTGGCCCAAATGGCAGCACAGATGTCAAGCTTTCTCACGGTCAGCAATCATTGGCCACTGAAAAGAAGGTCGACAATTCAACCAAGCATTCCACCATGGAACATCAGCCTGAACCTGAAAAAGAGAAGGAACCTGAACAAAAGGATACCAGCCGGCCTATATCTAGCACGGCTGTTACGGGGACGCCATGGTGTGTGGTTTGGACTGGGGATGGTCGAGTTTTCTTTTTCAATCCAAGCAAAAGAATTAGTGTCTGGGAAACACCTGAGGAGCTGAAAGGTCGTACGGATGTTGAGCGTTTGCTTGAGAAGCCGCCTAATGAAGAAAAGGCTTCTGTTGGTGTCGACGATGAGAGAGCCGGGACACCAACGCCACAAGATCCCCCGGCTAAGAAAGCGCGGTTGTAAGTTGTTTGCCCATAGCTGTAGATTTTTAAGTGTTCGTCCTTCGTGGCTTTTATTTTTGGTAGAGAAGAGACAATTACGAGACGACAGACAGAGGCCCAGGAACTAACCGCGAAGGTTGAATTAGTGGTGGTGGATGAGGGAGTGAAGCAGCACGCTGGAGAACTGGCCCTGATAGATACGGCTAAGGAAGCATTCGAACGGGCCGCAAAGGATCAAGCTAGTGTACCGCTTGAAGTCCGTCTTCAGCAGTTTCGGCAGATGCTAATTGATAAACAGGTACGCGCTATTATTTGACAAAAGTCTTTTTTGCCTTGTCTTACTCCATTACTGCTTCAGGTGTCGGCTTTCTCTACTTGGGACAAGGAATTGCACAAAATTGTGTTTGATCAGAGGTACCTATTACTTACTTGTGAAGAGAGAAAGCAGGCGTTTGAAGCTTATGTAAGAGAGCGAGCAGAGGAAGAACGTCGCGAAAAAAAAAATAAAATGCGCGAAAAGAAGGACAAGTTCAATGAGCTTCTCGCGGTAGCGAATCTTACGTCGAAGTGAGTGCCCCCACTTGCAGCATTTGCGGTTGTGTCACTAACTTTTGAATCTTAATTCGCCATCAATTTGTAGGGCTCCTTTTTAATTCTTTGTGTCACCTAAAAACCGAGGTGTTTGTGCTAGATTTTATTTCGAAGCCGTGTTATTTTAGGTCTTCATTCTCAGATTTCGCTTCAAAGTATGGACGCGATGAGAGATTCAAAGGTATTGAAAAGTCTCGCGAGCGGGAATCCCTCTTCCAGGTCTTTCTTTCGGATTTGCGTCGCCGGGAAAAGGAAAAGTCGAGTCTGAAGGACAAAGTATGTTTAACACTTAGGAGGTCGTATTGTTAGTCGTCTAAAAGGCATTCGAATGTCAGCTGTAATGATGAAATGTCTTTGACACCGATGGAAATCACGACTCTCTGCTGGGTTCGATGGTTTAATTTTCTTTGCCTTCATGGCACATTTGAACTTGGGTCTTAGTCAGCGTCGTCATAATCCATCGTTAGAGCAGTAGCACAAAGTTTCGATTTAACGTCTTACGTGGTTTAACGGTATTTCTGGGTTGCGGTATCAGGTAATTCCTTTTACAGGGGGTTTTACTTTGCTAGTTAGGTTCCTCTTTTTATAATTTCCAAATCGACAGTTTACCCTGTAGACTGGAGTCTGGCTGGCGCTTAGCGCGGATAATCTTGTAACTGTTTTTTTCGGAAGAAAATTGTAACCTTTCTGCTGTAAATTTGATGATTATTTATTTACTCTCCAGGATTTCGTCCGGTAACTTTATATAAATGAAGTCAAGTTCACAAATTCGGCTTTTTTTACAGACCACTCAGGACTGATTTCATATCTATATGCCGGTCGCCAAGGGATTTTGTACAATCATCGTACAAACTGGAAAGACCGTGAAGGCTGAATTTGGTGTATGTTATAGCACTTTGGCTTATAACTGCGTTCAAACCAGCGAACTTCCAAGTTAGGGTGCATGCTGGATTATCGGGGCTTCAAAATTCTGGGCTATGTAGAATGCACTATTGTATTAATACTGTGTAAAAGTAGCAGTTAAGTGGATAGTATATCAAGCAAACTTCCCTTTTTAACGCACTGCAGCACAGCAAATTAACGGGAGATTAGTTTCCGGAAAATGCAACAGCAATCATCCGCATGAAGCAGACAGAAAGCGAGTGCTTGGTATGGTGGTGAGACACGCTCGTGGTCCACAGAGCACCTCTGTTTGCGGAGGCCTTGAACCACACAACTCCGAAACTTCGTCTGTACGTCACTCCCCACCAATGGCTACTTGGGAGTAACTCGCTCTCGTTAGCAGGTTTGTTTTGCTTCACAACCAAACTATCTGTGTGCTTGTGAGGTTCGCGAAAATTGTGGTGACGTTTTCATCACAGGTGACGCCTTCGACTCCCGTACGCTGTAGCCCGGAGGCAACATATTAGAATCTTCCTCTACGGCAGTTGCTTTGTCAAGATAATATATCGTCATTAGTTTCTGCTTCTCGGGGCTTCCGCAATATCTACTTATTCCTTCATTTACGTCTTAGACTATCATGATCTATTGTAGCTTAAATCAGCTGCTTCTTGACAGTAGGCGTCCTCAGACGCGATAAGGAGAAAATGGGATTCCGGGTTCCGAGAGAGCTTTGTTTATTAATGCAGCGTAGCTCTAGATTTCATTTACGTTGCTCAGTTTTTATGTTAGCCTAAGAGGGACTATATTTGTAAAACTTGCTGTGTGGCTTGTGTTAATTTTAAAATACAGGTCTCGAACTGTTCGGTGGTTTTTGTTAAAACGAAATTTTAAGTCAGACGTTAATTTTGTCTCTTCGTGTACCTGAAACAGTCGTTAGGCTAACTCATATCTCCCATTCCTTCGTAGAAGATATCGCCAATGAATTGGCTTCCTGATTACGGGTTCTCGGAAAATGGGCTATTTGAGTCGCCGCCTCCTATAGTTCTGTTCATTCGTGCTCTTTTTTTATAGGTTAAGGCGGACTTCTTTGCTCTTCTAAAAGAACATAAGTCGATATCTCGGCGCTCACATTGGTCCGGTGTGAAGAGGAAAATTGACTCGGATCCGCGCTATAGAGCGGTTGAGTCTTCAAACCGTCGTGAGGATTGGTTCCGCGAGTATATTCAGAAAATAGATGATGTAATTAGTCCTTTTTATACACCCTTTCAGTGCTATCGGTTTGCACATACTTTGAATATTGCTTTAAATGGTGGCTGGTCTCTTCACTAAATGCACCATGGAGCTAGCCGCTGGACGAAAGGTTGTGGCTTAACTCCCCAAGGACTCAGTTTTATCCTTTAGGGAAAAGATGGTGCTTCTCGGGAGGACAGTGAAAAGCGTAAAGAGCGGGAAAAACGTGAGCGACAGGAGGCCTCCTTACGCGAACGCAAGAAGGAGGTTGAAGAGGCTCGGACCAACTCAATGAGAGAGCGCGATCGCGAGCGGGAATCCCACCTACGCCGAGAAGCCGAGGCCAACTTCAATGCTCTTTTAGCTGACGCAATCAAATCAGAGATACTCTCATGGAAGGAAGCTAAAAAACTCTTACGAAAAGATTCGAGGTGGGATTCCGTAGCTGATGTCCTGACCAGGAGCGAACGTGAGACCCTCTTCGATACCTACACTGCTGGTCTTAGCAAGAAAGCTAAGGAGGCTTTCCTTAAGATGATCAGTAATAATGAGTCGGTATGTTAACTGTAACGACAGTTTTTAACAACTTTAGCCCATGAATCTACATGCTTGGGAGCCGGTTTTCCTGCTTTTAGATTACGTATTGGACTCCTTGGAAGGATGTGAAGGAAATCTTCAAGGATGATCCGAGGTTCGAGAAACTTCTCTCGTCTGAAAAAAAATGGAAATCTGAGTATCGAGATTGGGCTGGTGAACGCGAGTCCAAGGCAAAGAACAACTTCAGTGAGATGTTAAAGGAAAAGACCTCACTGATGTCTTCGTGAGATTTTCTTTGATTTCTCTTATATCTCCCCAGTATACTGGAGTAGTTTGCTAGCATCAGATTGGCTCTTCTGTATATGAAAAGCATGGTTCTCATTGCTTTATGCAACTTTTGCCCTGCTTTTGTTCCACTCCTTCGGTATTTTCAATTCATTAACAATTTATCGGCCTTTGGAATACATTGGTCTCTATACTTATGCTCCCTGATCACTTTAGAGCAAAACGCCAGTCCCCTGAAAATGACACCATATTGGATGACGTTTTGAGCACCCTCAAGGCGGACATTCGCTACAGGGCGTTAGAACCGAATCAGTCAAAGGCAATGCTTGAAGAGTTCCTACAACGCCTTTCGGACTGATCTACGCTAGTTTTACATCATTTGCGTTGACGGACCCACTTTTGATGTTTTCCTTTTTTGTTGTTGACTATATGCATTCTGTGCGTCAGCCAATGTATAAATTCATCTGAAACTGAAAATAAACGAAACAACTGTTGAACCGCTCCATTGCATTTTCCCGATATTGTGTGCTATTGCGAATGTGTGCGGAGGACTAGTCTACCGCTTGTCTCCGTTGTCGAAGGCTTGACTTCAGCCGAGTTGTCCGTTTTATTTTATTGACCCATCTTAGCGGTTTTAACAGATGAATGTGGGTGTTATTCCTTTGAGTTTATGCACTATTTCTCCTATCAACGGTTGTATTGTTCTGAACTTGTTTCGGGATTGGGTACTATCTAATTAACGCCATTGTGCAGTGTCTTGTAGGGCCTTAGTTTTGTCGCCTTTCGTGTAGGTTGTTGTGCTGGCTCAGAGGTTTGTTCGAGCAAGCGATTTTGCTGGCAGTTGTTTTATTGTTGTCCTCTACTGATCCAGGTCTGATTTGAGATTGTTGAACAGATCCGATTACCCCAATAATTCGTTTTTTTTCAAACAAGTGGGATCAGTTTATGATGGTAGACTCGGACTCTGCCAGTACTTAGAATCAGCCATCCAAACTGATTATTGTGCGACTGATCGAACTTTTGGAAAGTAGGTGTTGGTTTTGCAGTATTATCTTAATGTTGGTGACAAGCTGGCGTGGCGATGAGCATAGCTGCTGAAATATTTCTTATTTCATCCGGAGATAGGTAATGTGTGATCGTCAAAGGTCCATTCAGCTAACATCTGAGGAAATTGACCAACTCTTGGCTGATTCTTCGATATCTCTACACAGTTCTGACGACAACGTGGTAACTAGAACACCATTGATTGCATCTGAGCACGCTTTCACCAGAGAGGATCTAGCTCTTCTTGATGAAACCAACACATCTGAACATCCGTCTCCAACGTGAGTTCATTTATTTCTGGCACCAGCCTACTTTTTACGTTTCGTGAAATACTTGTCGGTATATGGCGCACGTCCAAATGGATCGGAAATGGGGTCTTTCCTGTTTTCATTTTATCACTTGCTCTGAAGCACTCTTTCATTGTGTTATAGCTTTTGAAGCCTCATTGCGTTTAATCCGCCGATTTTGTCCTCTACAACAATAACTGAGTTTGTATTTTTGTACACACTTATCGTTTGCAGAGCTACAGAAGAAGAACGAGGTGGAAATGTCGTCCAAGCCGCGCGTGAGTGAATAGACACTGCTTTCGGTTTTATCTGTTTGGATGGAAAACCACTAAATTGCAGACCTATACTAATAACATTGTTGGTGGCATTACTAAAACGAGAATTACGTTCTTATGTCGCCTCTATGCTTCGCTAAATGACTTTCGAAACATTTAGATGCTGTGTTCGTTGATGCAATGGTTGTGTCACGGTTGAAATTGCTCATCTTGTAAGGCGACTGTCTCTGAAATTGCACTAATGCTTTGTTTCAAGATGGCAAAGCTGGTGAAATAGAGGGGATAGGGTTTGTCAAAGCGGCCATGCGTTATTGTGGATATTTTCTTATTTACTCGAATTATTCAGATCGGTTCTTGTTGCATTCTCTAGCGGTTCTAAGTTCACAAACTGAACGAATTCCGACGGTGACGGCTGAAACCCTTGCAGATCAATTTGAATCAGGTCCTACTATATCTGTTCCACCTACAGGTACATTTTCGGTTTCAGTGCTGAAAACGATCACTATTCGTTATTAATGATCATGTTGGCTAATTACCAATGTTCCTAGTTTTTCTTAAGCTTTTGGACTGGTACTAGAAGCTTGTCTTTTGCTACATCATCAACTGAAAGTGACTTCACTTTCAGTATTTGTAGGAGGGTTCTTCACAGACAAGTTCTTTCTTTAGAAGGCTTTACCTAAATAGGTCTTTAGAGAAATGACCGGTGAGACATTTTTGGCGTCCATTGCTTTTGCTCTGTCGTGCCAAAGATGCATCTTCTTGTGTGGTTTACAGTGTTACGGCGTATAAGGCTATAGATCTTGGTATGTGAAGTTAGCCGCCTTCAGTATCTAAGTTGTTCAGCAAGGCTGGCGCGAACACTCAATGCTTTTGATCGTCTTTCTATCTAGCAAAGCTTGAAGTTTCTGTTCAGTATCGCAACAGAAAGGATTCGCACAATAAATTCGAACGTTTGTTCTCCTGGTTTGTGTCAAATTAGCGAACTTAATGCAGAAATATAAATGAAGCGGAGCAAATACATAGCTTTAGTTGAAGGTAAGCGCAAAGACCGTAGCTATTTTCTACGTCGATGGTCTAGCTAAACCGACTATTCGCGATAACGCCTTCATTCACTAGCTATAAGCGACAACTAGCCGGACCACTTTGTCGAAATGTTATGGTGAAGCAAGCCTGCTGTCGGAGTTGAACGAATACTTCTCAAGGCTATCTCAATCGTTAATTGTTGTTAATTGAGGCGTTTTTCTCTTAAGCTTGCGATACCCAATTCTGAATTTTAGGTTCATTTTCATCGCCTCCTTTCGGTTCATCACTACCTTCTACGCAGGAAAGGTGGGTTCATGAAATTCGTGCTTTTTTTCGGATACTGATGACAATAATGGTAATAATGGTGGCGGTGGTGGTGGTTTGGCGTTTAACTGTGGCTTCCATTACTCCAATTTACGATTTGGCCGCAGTCCGGGTCCTGAGAAAGGGGCATTTTATTTAATTAAAAGCTGTTGTATTCTTACTTCACAGTCAAGATCATCCAAGTTACTCAACGCAAAGAAGAAACAGTCTTTCCAAACGTGTGGCTGGTTCGGTCTCGTCTCACCTGTGGACGTCACCTCAGTCTGTTTCCATTTTCTCGCCTCTCTTAACACAAGGCTCAAAGCTCATCACTGGTGTCGTCTCTTCTCTCCTCTCCCCTTGGGTAATAGCATCGAGGCAGAGTAGCAAGGCACCTGAACATAGTCTTGAAGATGTGAGGCTTGTTCAAGAGAGACATTGTGAAGATAGTCTCATTAATGCATTTGAAAAGATTGGCGTTGCCGACAACTATTCAGAACATGATGACGGTATGTTCCTTTAATCCAATTCAGCGTTAGGGATCAGTTCACTACGCCTAATTGATACCCAAACTTTGAAATTTGTGGTTTAGACGTTGTCCTCTAAAGGCTCCGCACATCTTGGAAGTAGCCCCTTCAATAAATAAATTGGCGCTCCCTAATCCCTGATTCGTTTACCCTTCATGCTGCTCTGGTCAGCAGTTCTAAAGCCTTATGAGGTCATGAAATTATCCATTTCTGTAGTGTTTTTCTCACCTAATCGCGAGCGTGAAGAGGCAAAGAGTGCAAAGAACGCATCGATGTCACCAGCGGCGATCGTTCTGCGCAGCGCAATGATGGAAGATACACGATGTGATCTGAACACGGAGTCGTCGGTCTATTCGGATGCCATAAGCGCACAATCCTCTTCATTGAGCTCATTCCCCGAAGTCACAAGGCACACGATACTACCGTTCTCCCAAAGGTCCCCGACAAATCGTTTCAACAATTCGAATCCCGTTCCCTCACCCTACTCGAAACTTCTTTCTGAGGTAGAAAGCTTTCCCTCTGGCAAACCTGATTATTGCGGACCGTCCGTTTCTCCTAACAATACTGTTGCGGAGGTGAATACTTTGATGCCCACAAAAAATGCTTCCCCAGACGTTGATATTTCCGAGAGTGAGGTCTTTCATCGAAACATACCCTCTGCAGCGTCAGAAATATCTGGAGGTACTTCTCACTTACCCTCTCATGAAGTATTTGAGAATTTTACTGGTGTTCACCCAGAGAGCCATGAACAACCAAATATAAATTCGGTGAGCTTCTTTAAACCGCTTTGCATCCAATCCACAGAGTTCAAATTTGAAATTTTGTGTGCCCCAGACTCTTCAATCTATCTCCGAATCAGGCGTTCCATGTCCAATCCGTTCAATGATGGTTAGCTTGTTCAATACCAATGAGGAATGGAACAAAATGCAGAACCCTACTGATAGTCCTTCAGTACGCATAAGTTTACGGAAGTTGAAGCCTACTATTGATAAACGGAAGGCGGAAGCTAAGGATGAATGTATCTCTCGGGCGGTGGGAGCTCTGAATGCAGGACTACAACCCGATGTCACTACATTGCGCCAGCGGTCATCGAAACAGTATGAAACGCTCACAATTGAGCAGCCTTCACCTCAATTGAGCAGTAGCGCCCGTCCTTCTGCTCTTGGAAGTGTGAATGGGGAGCTGGCATCACCGATGGTATGTTGGCATTCGAAACTCCTTGTCAATTTCAGGTTAACTTGTTTGACCAAAAACCTATACCATTCATTTGTTTGGGGGTGCGGTAGAAATTAGTGCAACCAACTTTTGACTGTTAGATGAGCTAGGAGTTGTCAACGTAATGAATCAAGCAGTTATAGTACTTGGGTTTGTATGATACCACCAGGCACGGGGCTATACCCCTTTTATTGACATTTTTCATCGTTTGACTATTAGTTCTTTTATGAAATTAATTTTACCGAATTACTTTTCAGAGATCACGTTGTCCAGTTCCATGCTGCCCACCTTCAGAGCATTTGTCAACGGCGTCCAGCACTTCTCATCCACCATTGTATGCGACCGCAAACAGTGTTGCATCTACAGAATCTGAGCAAGAAGACAAAGAAAATGTGTCACCGGATGTGAGTGTTGACATCATTAGGGCCATCGTTTGACTGAACTTGCTTCAGATCTATTATTGCTGGCACGCTGCTGCGGTGCTTTGCTTTGTTCTATACATCGTAAGGGAGTCGGGTCGTATCTCCTCTTCTACCCTGTAGGTATTGACAACGGTTGCGAGACGCCGTGCTACGCATCGAATCCCGGTGCTCGACGTTGCTACTAGGCCGGTACCAGCGCCGAGGCATTCAGCCCCCAAAATAACGACTCAGCCTGCTCTCCAGATAGACAGAGAGATTGCCGAGGAGAAGGCTCAACTTCGTCGAGAAATAAAGGCCCTCAGAGCCAAAGAGGACATTTTGAGGTGGGTTCATCTCTCTTGGTGTAAGTCAACCTGCGCGTTGCAAATAATTTGAGCTGAAGCATTTGAAGTAATGCCGCATTTCACTACCACTCCCACAATTGTATACTAGTTTCGGTAACTAGTAAAGCTGATATTTGCATTTCCTTTCCACCTCATTTTTTTAGCCAAATAATTTTTTACGCCATAAAAACCTATTTTCGACGATATGGCAAACTTCCACCAGCAACGCATTCTCCTTCCATGCTCCCGACTAACCACGGTTTCAACCTTTCATTTGCTTTATTCATACATGAATAAAGGTTCGTATGCTACTCATGTGGTAATATGGGTACGTTTGCAGTACGGAGTGTTAGTTGCCTAAGCTAGACTGTTGGGTTTGTTATGAAGGCTGATATTGAACAAATATGAAGTGGCATTTGAGAAAGCTTTGGATCAACGCAGTCAGGTGCACTTTGCGGCAGGCACAGCGAGGGCGCAGGCAAATAACGATGTTTCTGAGACCCGACGCCAGGCTGCTACGCTTTACAACGCTGTCCTCGATTCACAGCGACGACATGAGCGGATGCATGAAACAATCCAAAAAGCCGAGGCTGTGAGCGATCACGCTATTTTTTGTCATCCCAGCCAAATTTTCCGCCACTCAAAATTTTCTGCTTCTCAACCTCTAGAATCAAGAGGAGTGGTTGAAGCGTGTTGAAAGTCTCCGAACGAAGCATGCCCGCCAGTCGGAGAAAGGAGTGACCTATCAAAAGTACTGTCTTGGAAAGATACAAAGGTAGACCTCATCTTCCTTCCCAAAACATCTTGTTTTCTTGATTGAACCTTTCATGAATCACAAATTCGGCTCCGATGCAAGGGCGAATTACCGGTCATCAGGTGTAGATCCTAAGTGAAGTTTAGTTGCTCAAGTGAATTCTCCGCAACTACCGACATAATTTTCCCTTTCCTTGGTTTGTAGAGCTCTCGAAAATCAGGAGACAGTAAGAACTGAAATGGAAAAGGAGCTTAGCAAACTGCGCGTTCATTTCAAGCAAATGGAGCTGAAACAAAGGTCTCTCGAGACAGAGCTAAGGCAAAAGGTAGACCTTATTTACTATAGTGACCCTTGGCCCAACTAACTTTCATTGTCTGTAATTGTTTTTCTTACAGGCCCAGGAAAACCGGGAACTTACCCGCATTTGTGACAGTTTACTAACCTAGTCTTACCTGCCGCATCTGTTTTTGTACATTCGTTGTCTGGATCTCAAAATATACTAGCAGTATCCAACCCTCTTCACAGCTGTAGGCAACCGTAGCATGATAACGCACAGAAGTTAGGATGTCATTGGGAAGCTACAGCTACAGCTCAAGATCTTATCTACAAAACAGCAAGCAATTTTACAGACCATGGAAGAAGTGCCCTCCGCTCTCACCAACCTTTTTGTTACGTAAGATGCATTAACGGCAACACAGAAGTAATACACAAACTCAACCATCTGGTGAGGCATAAGCCTCTACAAGACGGCCCACGACAGACTCTTTCAGCTGGCGCAGTTCATCGATCTCCAAACCGGGGTTGACGGATTTGTGGAATGCACAGTCCATGTGAAGTTTCAGCCCTGTGGACAACCACTGGTCCTCTGCGGTCCAATGACTGACGCCCTCAATAAGTGCGCGAGTACGCGAACGCACAGGCTGGGTGCAGAGTAAGGCCCCCGTCCCAATTAGTCGTGGAACAGTGATAGGAGCAGCAGGTAGAGAACAGGATAGCTCTGGGTCTACACCCTCCACAAGAAAGCAAGCGGAACCGCGGCAATGTGGTAAATAAGAGAGAAAACTGTCTTCCTCCATCACAAATCCGCGTGTGAAAAACTGACAAACTAGGGAACGGGGACGGGATGACACATTGACTGCACCACGACACATCCTAAAAGTATTGGCATGTGTCCAGGATGGTTCTCGAATCTTCGTTGTCTCTTGAGTGGTCAACGACAGTGACATCATCTGAAATTAATTCAAAATAAATACCTTAAGGCGGTCTTGAAACATGTACACGGCAAATGTGTCGCTACTGAGGATAATCGATGGAGGTGTATATGTAATTAGGGCATAAATTCTCAACAAAACCGAAGAATCACCTTCTTGCGCGTTGGTGTTAACGAGTTAATGAAGCTATGCAATTCGGAAGAGTACTTATGTTCACGGTTGAGCAAGACAGGAGTGAGCAGGGTTGCCAGTCCAGCAGCCAAGCGACTGGAAGTGGCGCAAACGTCACCAGCGTCTGATACTGGCATCCAAGCAGAGCAGGAAGGCCAGTTCGTGGCTTCCTCCATAGCAGCGTAGAGGGCTAGTCGATTAAGGCAGACGGTGGGCCACCGACGCGACAGTTGAGGAGGTTGGAAGTGAGAGGAAATAGCAGAGGTGAACACAGGACGCTTTGCGAATTCTTCACCAAGAAACTCGCCTAGGCGAAGACCCACACCAGCAAAACCGGAGTCAGAATCGACAAAAAGGGAGAATCCGTTCAAGTGGTCACACTCCTCCACCAGTCGATGGAGGTGATTTTCGAAATCCTCAAAAGCGTCCCCCCCCGCACGATACAAGTCAAGACCCTGTAATGAGCAACGCATGAAATAGGGGCATTGAAGCAACCAATGATAATAAAATCACAAATGCAGTTTTTAACAAGGTCCTCTTGTAAAGGTTAGTTTACATTCACAATGTGGAAGCAAGATGAAGCCCTAATCATACTATAAAACTAAACCCGGCGTTAAAGAGGACAAACGAGGCTACCCTGAAAATGTGCTAAGCAATAATGGGAATAATGAGCAATATCTGAATAAAGGATGAGTGACAGAAAGATGATTATGGGCAATGCCGGTAAACCGATTTTTTTGCAAGGAAGGGCGATAAAAAATAGGGTGAGTAGAATTGGTAGTGTAAAAGTAAGGAGATTTAGATGAAATATCCACTTGATACAAACTTTATGGGGGACTTGAGATTGCTAGAGTTAGTAATGAGATGCTTTGTAAATTGAGAAAATTTGGCTGACCTGTGAGAACGATGAAAAGAAGGAAGTTGGACCGATGCCTCCAGATACAGAAGTGCAAGGCCTTCTAGAGCAGGAGGGTGAAGCAAAAACATCGCCAGGTGAGGAAGAATCCAAATATTCGCGTAGAACTACGACTGTGTCTTCACCATTCCACTTCCGTTTCACCATTGGAAGCAGGCAATCTGTCCAGAATCGCGATTTTGACACATCAGATTCGACAATCTCACAATCTGTTCCTTTGATCCCAAGCGAACGCCCACTAAAAAGAATACTCGAAATATGGAACCACTGATACAGAGTGAATAGCAAACGAGACAAGTAAAATCAGCAAATTCGAAAGCAGTCGCTGGATAAATGCTCATCAAATACAAATTTTAATACTGCAAAAAATTACTTTATTTGAGGTTGAGAATTACCATCGTCTTGTCTTATTGTTTGAACATCGCCACCCCAAGCTACAGTGACGGAACGTGGCGTGATAGAAGTTTCTAATCCAGGGCTACGTATGCTACCGAGAGTATCAATGGCAATCAAACGAGGCGGAAGACCCGATATGGGACACCTTGTATTTGTTCGAAAGAGCGCAGGAAGGTAAAAATAACCATCCTCTACTCCCTGAAACAAAATGCTCTCCTGCAAATTCCAAAAATGGGCTCCGATCCAATTGGATGAAGGTCCGGCTTGGATAAAAACGAGTTCACAGGAGGGAGTATTGCGTATACAGATACTGGAATCCTTATAATCCATTAGGCTAAAGATATCATAGGTGCTCAGTACGCGAATTCTTCGTGGAAAGCTAAGCAACTCGACTCAAAGGAGAAGCATAGGAATTCCCACCTTAGACATGATTGGCGGACTATTCGCACGGCACTACCTACACGAAATAGATCCTAACCACAAGGATGAGACTAAATACTTGACATATAGCAATGAAAATCAGGGCAGAGTTGAGAGATACTGCTAAAAACTTTACTGCAACTGATCAAAGCATCAAATGACCAATGTTGCAACACCATAAAACGGGCTTATTGAAGCAAACGGATTAATGATTAGAAATAACACGTCCTCATCACACTTAATGCGATATTATGGTGTATATTGCATTCATCGCAATACTTTGGCCATGTTTAGCATTTGCTTTGTCATTCGACTTGCACTTGTATGCTTTGGCTGGACTTCGGACTTTGCTAAGGCTTTATCTCCTCTTTTATTCTTAGAATACATGTAGTTTGCTAACCATGATGCTGTCTTCTACCTGACTGAAGTCTCGGGAAGCTACAATCACACTCATTGATCTGTACGTGATGTGTGGATCTTAAAATTAAATTTAAAATATTGTTTACTAACAGTGTTGTACTCGTATGGATAACAAGCTAAGGCGACGGTAAAAGTCGAAAGCGCTGACAGCTCCATGCAAGCAATTTAAGGCAACCCACTTTTGGTGCTGCAATAATTTGTTAATGCCACCACCTTTTACTTGACGGTTGCTTTAAGATTCGTCTAACCTTGCCTTCGAGCCAAGCTCAGGCATGATTTCTTTGTTCTCCCTAGAATACATGTTATCAGCTCCACTTAATGCCTTCTTCTACTCGACGGGAATTCTCGAGTACCACGGTAGCACCAGTGTCATTTGCGATCTTCAGCAGAAGATAAACTTAACAAAGACCCTAGTCTGATAAAATAATATTGAGTATTCTACTTTACTTTTTCACTAAGGCTAGAGAGTTTAATGACTTTAGATACTCTGCCGCCCTTTTTCAAATACACAGTCAAACAAGCAGGTCGTTCAGCGTCCAATTGCTTATCCTCAACTTCTTGTGTTGGATTATGGGATGCACTTCTGACAATTTAATTCTGAGCTAAAATGACAACAAACGCACATCATCGATGGATTATCTAAAAAAAATTTTAAGAAAGCCCCAATGTGCAATATATCCGATAAGCACAACGTTATGACTATAAGATGTCTATTGTTACCCCATAACGAAGGTGATTGTAGCACCACAACAATACTTTTCAATGTTGAGAGTTACTAACATGCTATAAAACAAGTTTTAGTGCTGTTACGGAGGCGGGTCAGAAGGCCAGTGGCAAGGCCAGATAGTGAGACTATTAATCCGTAATAGACTAAGGAAAGAAGAACTACTTTCAATTGCAAATACCTTAAAGTTGCATCGAGGCTTCTCTGAAGGAAAAAAATATCACGCCATGAAGTAGAGCTTCATTTATGCACTCAGAATGTTCTAAAGCCCAAATTATGGTAGAAGTGACCATTTCTTAGGTAACTGAAACAAAAGGTGAGTGAGAACCTTTAAGATTACTTGGCAGGAAGCCCATAGTGCGTTGTTTGGTAGACTTGCTACTTGCGTGAAAGATATCGACTAATTGCACATTTTGTATCAAAAGCATCTTTAAAATTTTAAAGATTGGCCTAATTCGAGTATATATTCTACTACCACTTATATTTATGAGTGTACTTATCGGACATTTTCACAAACTCCATGTGAAAGAAATGCTGATGAGCCAGTAAAAAAGATGTATTTATTAACCAATGGTAGCTTAGTTCATCCCGTCCTATTTTGTGTACTTAGGGTTCGGTTCCTGGTTTTTCGGTAAGACGTTGATGTTTATTTTAAGTGATGGAATTATTTTTGCTTGACGACTTGTTCATTGGAGGTACTATTTTGTTTCGCTGACTCAAGCTCTTAAGGCACACTTTTGGAATCGATTGTTACTTGAAGGAGCTATGAGGCGCCATTTAAGTTTTTATGGCATATAGATTTGGATGATGCGCGTATTTTACGATGAACCACGATGATGGATTCGGTATTGGATTTGTGAGTATCATAACGCTTTTCTGTTTTGTCTACACAGACTCTCTTTGGACCCAGGTTTTTAAACTATGTCATCCAGAATGCATAATACGCGAACCGGAATATCGGATATGGTGAGAACAGCACAGGAGGGAGAAATAAAGAGGGCTGCAACTCTTAAAATGTCTGCCGAGGCTAGGCTTTTGCGTCACCAAGAGTTGGAGCGTATTCGAAAGCAAGAGGAGGAGGAGTATACGGATGATTCAAACCATGCTCGAGTATGTCATAACCAATTGTTTTGGTCGAAAAACTTATGAGTCTCCTATAAAGCACAAAGATGGCTTTCTTGCATTGCTAGCTACTTGGGTACTATTGTATCTATTTGGTCTTTTACTCGTTAAGTTTGCATCCAAGATGTTGCGATTTTCCTAAGTTCCTGTGTTCAAACCGAGAGTATTTATCAAATGTTTAATTTCTCATAAGTAGGTCGAACCGAACAAGCATGACGTTAGCGACTGTATCCGCATTTTTTGCATTTTATGCGCTGGTGTATTTTACGAGCAAGGTGTTTGGAACGAGCCTTACAATCCTTTTTAACTTATCATTCCTGGCTTTTGGAGGTATTATTGTGCCGCTGATATATGCCATAGCACTAATTACACTTACTATCCCACTCCATTACATGAACTACTTTATTTGTTGTGTATGGAATTTATGAGTTCTCTTTGCATTCTATAGTCGTTTAAGTCTAAATAGGTGTCACCGTACCTAATGCATTAACTCCACCATTTGACCTTTATAGCAGATCAACACGCCTTATCAAAATCACATCGCCATTATTGGCTTTCGGCGTCGTAGTATCATTTTCAATCAGGTCTCATAGTTTCTTTGCATCCCAATCTCTGTGTGCACTTAGGTGTTTTGTGGTGTCTAATGTTGTGACTAGTGCACAAAAACAGTGTTATTATGGTTTTTGTATACTGTGACTTGCATGTGGATTTGTGCCCTTGATTTTTACCGCTATAATGGTTTATGCCCGACTCTTCTCTTACGCTGTTTTTTTCTCGTCGATTTACAAATTATCATGCTATTTTATGTTATTTGATCAGTTTCTTGTCTGTGCTCTATGTATAGCTTTCCTTACCAGGCTTGCGTGGTACTGTCAGGTATCCATTATTTCTATGTCATAACATTCAGTACCTTGTAGTTTGTTGTATTTGGTATTCCTTATGATACCAAGAGCAAAATAAATAACTGATAATATTTTCTACCCCAGTTTTTTTCCTACTCTCGCAATCGACATTTCGATAGTTTTATTCACTGATAGGTGTTACGATAGTATCTAAAGGGTTTGGCTTTCCACTTTAAGTGAGTTTACTCTTTTCTCCTTTGATCTTTCTTTAAGGCTTTCTTTTTTATCTGTCGTTCTTGCTGAGTTTGAAGACTGGTTCTTCAAGCACTTATTCTCCTTTTCCGTTAGGTCTATATTGGTCCAATTTAACTTGCGACACCCGTACCCTTTTTAACGGAAAATTTAAACAGAAAACGTAACCATATTTGAAAATGCGAGAATCCGTGCTTTATATTTAGACTTAGTCTCTTTCGGTCTTCATAAGTATCTCTGCAACTGAATGCTTATTTGTGAGGCGTGCTGTTGGCATGCTATTTCACGTTCGAATGCTCTGTTGCATGTTTTCGCGTGAGGTGAGTTGACTCCATTCGTGAAGTGCCTTCCTGTTGCTTGAGGGTCATAATGGATCCCAGACCTCCTCATCACGGTACAGCAGCCGCCATTCGTCGATTGAGCCTACCTACACCTCCGGCACCTATGGCAATGACCCACGGGAGTTGAAACGTCTTCTTTTGCAGTTGGATGAGAAGTACAAGGACGTTCTCGTGATCAACGCGCAGCTGGATTGTGAAAAGCAGTTTCTTACGTGAGTCCAACTTCGCATTCCCACGTGCACATTTGCACCGGCACCCAGACAAAATGGGCTTTGCGGCTTGCCTATGTTTTTACTAAATCCTGCTGTGCCGCTGTGCCGCGTAAGATGCATATCTATGGTTGAGTGTTGTTTTTGTTCCGATAGACTCTAGCACCATCTTTTGTTCACAGATTTACATTTGCGAGCTGAATTGGTTACAAAGTAATTGATGAGTACGGGATTGCTTTACATTCATAGCGATGACCCTATAATTGAACTACATGTAGAAACAGGCTTCATTATTATTCATCCATTAAATTGTTTTAGGTTGTTTTTGACTACGTCTTAACCTCGGCACTCGACACCCGCTGCTTAGTCTTCGTTCCCGTTCTATCGTGCTGTACAGGCGAAGGCTTTCAGATCGCTATACGTTGCATATAAACACACAATTGTCATTCAGTATTGGCAAATCCAATAGACTTGTTTGATTCTGGCGTTACTTCGGAGTATGAAAATCAGATTTTTGCCTATGAGTTTGCGTTGCCGGGGATAGTTCGCTTTCACGATGCTTATTTGGCGTAACTCTTTCCCTCATTTAAACTCGGACAGCTCTTTTTCCAAATTCCGCACCTGTCTCGGTGGCTTCTGCTTCCACACGGTTTAACGTACTTTAAGCTCAAATTGCGGTGGTTTTACAGTGTCCAGAACTATCTACTCTCTTCTTTGTGATTGATAATGCTTCTATCTTTTCCGTCTTCACTTTTTCATGCACCAATGTTTATTTTTTCACAATGGAACCTCCTAAATGTCAGCCTGCACTGACTTAGTCTAATTATGCTTGCCGTTTTTTTGCCCATTCACCTTGCCTTACTCAAACAACTAGTGCTTCATTTTCCTTTATTTGGCACTAAAATATTCATATCTTGTTTTTATTCCATTCCATTTTCACTACCGATGGAGGTACAGCTATTGATACCTTATTTTTAAACTCCTCCCCAGTAGTACCACATAGGGCAATAAAGCTAATTTTTCTTACGACTTGTTTTAATTCTTGACTAGCCTTTTTTTGCGTACTTATTTGTCGTCGAGTTTACTGGCTGCTTAATCACAGTGCAATGGCGCATAATTTTCTGTGATTGTTTTTTTTTGATGAAGGGCTTTGCCGACTGCTATGAAAGCAGACTGACTAAACAACCTAGTTGTCATGCCCTGGGTTAAGGTGACATTTGTGTAACATTTGACCTTGTGATTTTGGAATTGACTGACATGCAATTTGTCATGGAATTATTGCATATATGGCAGCGCCTAATAACTAGGATTCACCGTCCTTTCGGGTCAGGTTGTCATGGTTGTTGAGTTATAATTAGCCCCATCGTATTCCTAGGCGCTTTAGCACGTTTATTAAATGCCTATCCTTTTAAACCAGTAAAGGTTTGATGAGGCATTTAATGTTAATCGGCCGCTCTTTTAAAGTCTATCTGTGCTCACGTAGTTCTTTAAGACACTTCTCAGCTTTCGCTCTTTCCTTTCCTACATTTCCTTTTGTCACTGTTGAATCCTGTGCTCTGCGGTAAGTTAGTATCTGCTTTTCACCTTTGGATTTTTAAATGTTATTGCCTATGAGTTGTAATTGGCTTTTACCATATAATCCTCACAATCTCTAGCTATGCTTGCGTCTGCTCTGTGTCCCTCATTGGTATGAAATCTTTCTGTTTCGCACTGACCTTGGCGTTGTTGGCAACAACTCACGTCTAAGTCTTCCTATCAATGCATTTTTGTAAGTACAAAAACAAATGCGATCCGAACTATCAGTTTTTCAACAACCATTCGTGGTTTTGCCTCGTTTTAAAGTGAAGCACTACTTTCGAAAACCTCTTTGCAATGGATTTTCGAAATTTTCCTGCGTTTACAGCCTAGATTATGCACTATTAGCCATAATTTGTATAAGTTCCCATCTACTTTGATATAACCGACATTTTCCCACACTTTTCACTCATTTTCCAGATATTTTTCCCCAGTTTGCTGTCTTCCACGCTAACGTTTAAGTCTCACATCACTCGTCGAAGTAGAAAATGCCTTTATCTTCAACTCATCCTATTTTCTCAGGATTCTGTATTTTAATTATGCTAATCAGGTACGAGAAAATAGAGTTTAGAATGTCAATTGCGGAAAAATATGGACCACAGTAAAGTCAGCTGTCGGGCACTCAGGATTATTTGTGTTCATGTGGTAGATGCTTGCGGTCCCATTTCGTATTTATTGCAATTCAACTTTTGCGCTCGTTCCAACCCATCACTGGTAATACTACTGTGTTCACCCTCCAGAAATTTTGGTCTGCCTGTTTGTCGAATTTCTAGGCTTTTTTAAACAACCAAATCGAAGGAGAACGTGGGATCCGGTCATTTATTCGCATACAAAGTGAAGTAGCGATTGTTGAGCTTATTTAAGGATCTACCTTGCGAATGCAGTAATTTCGGGTTTGTTTGTATACCATTTCAATGTCAATTTGGATCGGATTTTCTGAAGGACTTCTCGCGAACTTGGGCTCTAGAAGTTGCAGTTAGGAGTGATAGCTTTCTACGTGCCTCTCGAAAATTAATTCAATTATTGTCATGGTAGCAATACTCATTAATTTGTCTTACGCCCAATCTACATCCAGTTTGTTGACCTCACCTTTATTGCTTTGTCGGAACGGTGAGTGACATCTGCCAAATCCGACCTTGCCTTGACGAAACAACGTATTTAATCTCCTGTTTGACAATGAATTGCTTATTTTCCAGGACATTGTGATCACTGCTGGAACCTCCCCATTTTTACGACTTGCTTTCAATGGCTTACCATGTCACACCTTCAATTGTTCCCCTCCGGTTTCAACCAAAGTGGAATTAGTGATGTTGAATGGCTTCAAATGGATAGTGAGAATGGAAGCGCGATTTCAGTTAAGTAAAATTAGAGTGCTGGAAACACTGTAGTGCATTTCACTATGTGACACGCGAAAGTTGGTGAATGCGTGACCTAAGGGCGATTCTTTGACGAACCATGTACAGTTTCGCACGCAAGCACACAGGCGTTTTCGTGGAGCTGTTACACAGCTTCCCTTGCTTGTAGGCTTGTGTGTATGCATACCCGCGTGTGCGCGTATGTATGATAGGGATTTATGGTCCTCTCGGTCTGGTGTGTATGGCGAATCACCTAGTATTTTACAAGTTTAAAATCTGAGTCCTTTCTCTCCCTTACGTTCTTCTCCACTCCCAAGTAAAGAATGCGATTAAGCTAATCTAAGTAGTCTTTATGCATGAAAATCTCGTGGCTTTCTGGACTATTGATTGCGTTCATACGTAGACACATCTTTGAAATTTGTGAGAATCGTCTATTGTTTAATGATTTTGAGTAATGCTAGTCGGGTTTATTTGGTATCAAGTCAATGAATTTTTTTCCGTCTGAATGAGCACAGAGTTTTATTCCAGAATGGACAATGGCGGAGCTTAATAATGTTGGAACTATTTTTCGGAGACTGTAGCTTTTAATAGGAATGCGTAAATTAGTGGAGTCTTGGTCGGGAAATCAAGCGGCGATTTTCGCTACTGCTACTACCATCCTCAATTCATTCAGCATGCATGTTATTTCCCCTCCTTTCTGGCGTATTAGCAACTTCGTATCGTTATGGATCCACTTGTGTGCGCGCCACTCCCCACTGATAATGGAGGCTGTCATTTTCTCGCAAAAAATGACTACCTTTTTAGTATAATGTACTGCTTGACACTTGATCTATTTCCTCGCATTAGTTAGCTATTTTGAGCCTGAGAGAACCCATCGAGCTTGAGCTTTTGCACTACAAGATGTGCTATTTTCGAAAGGAATATTTTTTTTAACGAGACCTCGGTTTATCACTAGAGTGGTTTTATTTCTATCCGCTAAATGTTTAACCTTTGCCTCGAATAATCTTCTGCCATCTGTAAATGTTTTATCCTTTTCAGAAATGCTCTGCCTTCTGTTTATTCTGTCTACTTGAAACGCTGCATGGTAGAGAGAATCACCAGCATTTTACACGTAGTTTCGAAGCAAGCGAGACGATTTCATTATACGCCAAAATGTACTCTAGACTGACTACGACGAAGCTATTCCACCGGTCATTTGTCATTAGATCTATTAAAATAAGATGCTAATGTTTATTTGCTCACTTTTTAGCTATTCCGTAGACTTGCTGAAAGATAAACTGGAGGACGCCACCGAGTCTAACCAGTATAACCAAAAATGCGCTGCAGATAGGAAAAAGGTATGATCTTTTGGTCGTATTGTTTCTGAATGCGAGAATTATATTGATAGGATTATCTGATGACACAAACCTTACCGTTTTGACTTTGAATGCAATGCAATTAGTGCCTGAAGGCTCGATATGTTCATCGTTCCATAGCGCTTAGGTGGTCAATACTGGTTGGCCCATCTTCCTAAAGGGGTTGATGCGCCATTTGGCAACACAGTGCCTTCGTTATCATCGTTAATGAGACCTAATTGGGCACGATTCGCTAAAATATTTACCTTCACGGTTGGATCCACTGAGATCTTGTTTTCTTCATCGATGCGTGTCTAAAATCTCCGACATTATTGCGTTAGGAGTTGGCCTATCAACGAATGCAGTTGGCGGAGCTGAACCATCAGCTAGAGATAGCGCGACAACAGATAGCAATCCGTGATGAGCTCATCACAGAGCGCGGTCTGGTGCTAGTGAACGTGGATGGCAGTGAGAGTAGCGCCGGGATAGCCAACGGGGACACTGGGCAGTCTCTTCTCAATGGAGCTACTGGTTGCGAGTCCTCTCACTCCTCCGCCACCCTTCAACCGTCGTCCCATGCCCTTCCCTCCTCAAATGCTGCTCCTCTTGCCGCCTCTTCTTCCTCCTCCTCCTCCTCCTCCTACACCATCCTTTCGAAGTCCAATGCAGAGGCACTAAAATCCATCTGCGGATCTGATATCGGTAAGCATCTCGCTTTGCCCAAGCTCTTCTATTGCGAAGCTTTTATTATGTTCTTCCATTTAGATGTATCCTGTCTTTGGTGGTATAGGTGACGTCTATTCACTAGCTCCCATTATTAGTAATTATTTACTCAAAGCACTTCCACCCCGTTTAACGAATGCTCCCTTCTGTACTAATGCATATTGATTCCTACACACTTCTCAAATGATCAGTATACCTCAATTGTTCTTTATTTTCATTTTTACCTTTTGACTGCCAGGTTCTTTTGAACACATATGGGCTAACTTGCTTCAACTGTGGTTGAAATAATTTTACTTTCGTATTTTTCTGCCGCATTCGAAACCCATTCGTTAGGGCCTTTTAGTCTAATTTTTATGGCTAGATTCCGAAATTTGTTCTGCTCATTTTTACACGTTGGAGTGGCCTTTATCCTCTTCTTGTCTTTTCTGCTCTTCAGATTCGAAAATAGCAACACTGTTAGAGGAGCGGGCGAAGGACAAGGAGCGCATCGAGACGTTGAAGTTGCACCTGGCGGAGGAGCGTGAGCGGATCGAACTCGTGCAGAAATTGGATACCCGCGCCAAGGGTGGCGATCCAGAGAACTTGCGGCAAGCAGTTCAAGGTAAGTTGTTGCTTCTTCCAGTTGAATATGATTTAAATGGGCTTCATACTCTCATCCTCTAACAATGGCTGCATCTTAGTAGGACAGTAATCTAAATCATGGCTGCTAGAAGCACCGTTGGTACCTCTGTTTTTGAGCAAAAACATTCAGGTAGGAGTTGTCAGGCTTTTTTACTTAACCACCATTGTTTCATTATATTACTTTACCTCAATTATCACCGGACCTCCAGTTTAAGGACAGCTACTAGATACTCATTCTGATTTGAATGTCAACCATACCTTTAGCTCTTTTCTTATGTCCATTTTCGGCATTTGGCTCACTTGCTGATATTCTTCCTAAGGATAATAAGTTCCATGCATATAAAACAACAATGCATCAGAAGACCGCTTTCGATCGAATTTCATTTCTGACATTGGAGACTGTGTAGTAGTGATCTAATGGGCTGCTTCAAGTCTTAACGTGTGGTTTGATTTTGTGAATCACATATTTGCTTTTTGTCACTTCTTCAGCTGCTCGATCTCAAGCCCAGGAGTACAAGTTTCGATTGGAACAAGCAAACCAGAAAATCACCGGGTTAGAGGGTGACGTAAGCTGTTCTCAGCGCTCCTTAACTCCTACATTGAAATGCTTGCAGACTCACGGAAAGTCCCCCGTTGTGAATTTCAAAAATGAACAATGTTTGATATGTTGATCTTTTAGTTATTTACCCATTTTCGTTTCCTGACGAGGTCGTGAGACTACAATCTGAATCCCTCAGCTCCGTCCCAATCGTCTTTAATTTACCTATTTATACTGGCATATTAAAGCATGGATAAATCTGCCATTTTCCGGAAGTGACAGAAGACAAGACTAATGGATGCACAAGACCTCCTTAGTGTTCAAATGAAATTCCCAGTTGCTGATAATATGACTCCTCTAATTGTAGATGTACTCAAGTTACATGGCTGTCTTTACATGGAGTATGACCTCATGGTAACCATTGCAATGGCCTCTCCTCTCCTCTTGATTTGATTTGTAGCACAGAAGGGAGGAAATACAACCTTCCACTGCTTTATGTATGCCTAATGTGCTGAATTAGACCACAGAAACAATTTTCGAACTCTGCTAAAATAATACTAAATTAGACGAATATCTTACGAACCGCTACATCACTTATGTATTATCTCCTCTTGTGCGATGCCATCAGACCCGTATACCTTGGGCTTATTCCCGCAGATCATACGACTGGAAGGTCAGGTGAAGCGTTTCAAGACTATTGCAGAAAACGCCGAGATGCAGGAGGATCAATTGAAGCAGGAAAGGCGCAAAATTCATCGTGAGGTGAATAACTGCCTTGTGGTAGCCTATCGAAACTAAACCTGTAGAACAGCATGCCTATTTTAATTATTTGGTAGCTTCGTGAGGCCCTCTCAACAATTGACGACCTCAAGTCAGAAAACTCCACTCTCCAGCGGAAAATCGACAAACTCTCCCGCGGCCCACCGGGAGTCCCAAGTGGTTCTAGCCTCCGATACTACCGTGGCTCCTCGCAGGCTCGGTAGAAGTGTGCCAGGTTGCGACTCTCATACCTGCGTCGTAACAAAAATATATCCCCAGCCTCTTTCATCCATCCATCTCGCTTCTTCCTTTAAGACGCATTCTAGATCGATGGTCACCCAACCACCACTCAGCACATGCAGTCTTTCACCCTTCTTCTGTTTTTGTTCTGTAAATACTATACAAAAGTGTCGCTGTGGCGTTCAACCTTACCACCTTCATTACCGTCACCATTCATTGTTACTGCCAACCTCCACGCCTGAGTACTGACATGAAATTAAATCTGCCGCAAACTGAGCTCATTTGTGTACGCAAAGCGTTGATAAGTGTCGAATAAACGCCTTGGTAACTGTGTTAAATTCAAAACCGAGTGAGCCAGCGCTCTCGTGCCTAGTCTTGATTGCTTAGACTGACATATGGTGCATAGATGTCCGGAATTAGCCATCGGAGTCAGTCATTTGGGTCCGGAAGTGAAAGTTCATCGCCTCTGCTCGACCTTAAACCTGAGCCAAAAGTGAAAGGTAATCACCCTAAATGGGTTTCAAAACAATGCGACCACAGTGGTAATAAAACGAGATGGCTCTTGTGGCAATACTAACCGCGAAGAGGTTGAAGAATGTGGACCGACTTTGGGATTGCATGTTAGGGACGTGCAAACTCGATACCGGAGTGAGAAGGACGGGCCGAAACACTAAACGCCTAGAGCCTACTCCAAGCCAAAACGCGAAAAAGGAACTCACAAGTGCAACGGGACCAGATTATGAGTGAGAACTACATGAACGATGAGATGTCTAACTCCGTTAACCGGTGAAATAGTAGAACGGAGAGGTAACAGCAATCTACTCCATCCCGCTCTCTCTGAGAAGCTGCTTCATAGATTGCTCTGCCTGATATTCCATCCATTGATCGTATTCGGCCTTCCTTTTTGCCATTATCGCAAGATTTCTTCTCTGAATGCCAACTTCGCGAACTTGCAGATACTTCAACCTCAAGGCTCCATAGAGTGCACCGGCCAGAAGCAGTCCCCATCGCGCAGTGCGAATGAAGGGTGAGACTGATTTTGGTGCAGGGAGCGTAATTTTATGGACAGACTCTGCAGCCATAACCAAGCTAAAACATGATACGGCCAGACGTCACAAGGATGATACTGAAAAGAGCATTGGGAAGAATAAATCTGCTTAAGGATATTCCACAAAGATCACTTAGTCGCGAAAAAATTGGGCGGAGGACTTCCTGCACAGGGTAAATCCAACTACTGATTATCGAAATAAAGGAGCTGCGAAACCCACCAGTTCTGAAAATGGGTGTGCACGTTTGGGCCGGTTGGTTCAAATACAATAAAACAATTTAAAATATATGTTAAAAATCAGCTACTTAACAACGAATAATTGCTCAACGCATTTGCTTTGATAATAGAAATTTTATATTTTGGTCACGCGCATTCAAACATGTTTACCTTGTTCTTTTTTGTACCTCTCCACTTATCATGATGAGGATATATCGGATGTAGTAAACGTAACCAATACTTACAACTTACAGCTGCTGAGCGATGTAACGTGCTGTGACTTTCCATGTAATAGGGGAAGGCATTAAGTAGGGTTGCATGCATGCATCAGAGAAGGGAGAGATTGGACCATGGCTAAGCCCAGAGGCCATACAGGAACAAGTTTAGAACTGAGGCGACCGTTAGTCACACAAGCAGTCATCTACACTAGGTACTATACGAGAAATCTTGGTACTGCACATTAGCTTGGTAAATGCATCCTCCTTGGAACTTTTGGAATTCTAATGTGCTGTCCCAGGCTTGTAAGCCATTTTAGATTATGCACAAGCAACTATTTTATGGCAAATTTCGCTTAAGACATTCCAGCATTTTGCTTGATGGGTTGGTGGCCTTCTTATGCCATGCTTGATAATTTGTTTGCCTGGATCCTTGGAATGTGTCCCCCTTCTCAATAGAATGGTTTTCCAACCATTCCAGTAGCCTTAGACTTTCGTTACCTTTTATAATACTGTAACTCTTTGCTTATGTGGACGCATGACGTTTGGTGGACACTTTAGTATTTATCTGGCCTTTGTACACGTGGGCTGGCCTTCGGGTCATGCTCAGGCCCATTTGCTCTGTCGTCTTCAGAATACATGTATCCAACTGCACTTACTCACTTCTTATACCGACCAGGAGGTCTCTGAACGCTACACTGGGGCAGCTGAAGGCGAACCCGATATTTTTTAACGACTTTTAGCCGGGGTGGGGTCTCCCTCTGCGGCTTGTTCTTTGTTCATCGTGTGTTAACTCGACATAGTGTCCGGGAAAATCTATTGCCCAAAAGAAACCGCTATCGTACTGGTATCCTACGTTTTTGCTGCTGAACTTTGCCAATTAATCGACTGATTTCTGGAAAAGAACCGTATGAACAAGCCGACGAGCAATGGTTTGATCGGATTATGCATTGGTTTAGTACCTACAAACGGCACAGGATCTGGAAATGTTGATACTCTGGGTTTGAGTATCTATGAGCCTGATAATCTGATGGACTCCAAAATTGGTTTCTCTTGGCCGGAAATTCGAAGCCTTTTATTCGAAAATTCCAAGATCAATAAGCGCATCTTGGTAGTGTGCGCTGGCAATCATGAGCTATACATGCATAGAAGGAAGTCTGACACTATCGAAGTGCAATAGATGAAGATACAGGCGAAAAGGGGACGTAAATTGGTGGTGGCGGAGAATCGCTGAATCTTTCACAACGAAAGGATTTTACCTACTGTCTGCATATGGTTTCACCTTATTCCCGTGTTCCACAGACAAGTTATTAACAACTGAAGCGACACTGCCGCAAACTATCAGGAATAGCTTCGTGTTGGAATTTACCATATAAAATCCGTGTTTAGGTGTCGGAAATGACACTACCGTTCTCCTTGCATACGGGACAGTGGCTCATCCCATTTTTCCTGTATCATATTTGTTTTAGACCAGAGTTCCACCATCTATTCCTGAAAGCAATTGTTGGTTAACATGTGTATGCGACCCCGAATCTGGTTGTCAGACCGAACGTAACACCAGATCCAGTTGAAGCTTCCAAGGAGAACAGGTGTGGTTCCTCAGTCTCATGCTATTTGTCGACATGCGCGGTTGGCTCGGGGGTAATTTCTTGTAGTATCGAATATGTTGTGATGGCTGGTGCGGGAGATGCACCAAGGGGAGCGCCGAGGACGCCGCTCAAAAGTAGAGAGACAGTGTAATGCTTTGTTTATGTGACTACCTAACACTTGGTGTGGGCTGGCCTTCTGGCTGCAATTACTGGCTTCATATACCGGCTGGGAAGTCTCGGAACGCTGCATCTACGTTTCTTCGCGTGCTTCTTTGACTTATACGACACTGCTACTTACATCCCTGAGATCGGAACTGCTCCGCTGTAGCGGAATTACAACTCATGTTCGCCTCTAATAGGTTTTAAAGTGACTTTACTTTAACCAACTTCTTCACCTATGCTTTTTGGGAGTTCCATTCATAAAGGTGTCAATTAGGTAAGCAGGTGATGCCATCTCCACCTCTCTACAGATCTAAGTGACATTAGGCATTCTCATATTTTATGTTTGTACTTTATTTGCGTAACCACCAAATATTTGGCGGTTACGTTACCATACGTTTTGCCCAATTACGCCTAGGCTAACCTTCGGGCCAAGATTGGTCTGCCAACGCGATGCCTTCTTCTACCTGGTGGGAAGTCTCGGTGCAATAAAACGTGATATCACCACCATCCTTTATAGTCTGTATGCGTGACAAGCAGCTAGCTAGAAGTAGGCATGTCTTTTTGATCGGTACCATAAATGTGTACATATGCTTGTGGCACCCCGAGGCTTCTCACTAAATATTAGTTAGTCCGAATGCAGCTGTTCTAAGAGAATGGGTGGTACTGAACCTTAACTTGGCCCATTAGCTAGCCTATGTGTACAAGGGCAAAGCAAATATCCAAGTTGCCGCCAGACACTAAGTGGTCATATAATCGGAGTATTGCATTTATAGCATAAAAGTCAGTATTACTGCAACTTCTGGTGGCTTTCGGTTCGGTGGTAGAAGGTATTAAGAATGGGTGAGTATCTGTAGTCCTACAACTCAAGCAACATGAACAAAGTGGTCGTAAAAGTAACTGCTATTACAACAATTATTCATCATCTTAATTCCCTCCGTAATGCTTTGTTTATGTGGCCCTCGGGCCATGTCCAGGCCCAGGCCTGGAATAAATATATCCAGTTTTGCTTACCAACTTTCACGCTATGGGAAGTCTCAGGACGCTGCATACTCCAACAAAAGTTGATGCAAGGCATTTTGAAGCTCCAAGACACTTACAGAAATTTTTCTTGAGATTAGTAGCCCCACGGTTTCAACGTCTGTAAATTCCTTACATTATTGCGTTCAGAAAAATTCTTTACAAGTGGCAGAAGATAAAGTGTTTGAGTAGCACATACGAATTTAGCAGAATGAAGTAGATTCTGGATTCCTACATGGCTCCGCCTCCAGGCAATCTGGCCACGATAATGTAGCAGCTTTATCAAAGCTTAAAATTCCACTGCGTAAAAGAAGGCAATGAGGCTGTATGCATGCATTCCAAGGAGGACAAAGCAAATGGACCTGAGCATGGCCCGAAGGCCAGCCCCCACGTATAAGGGCCAAAAAAATTTTAAGCGGTCGGCAAACGTCAGGTAGTCACACAAACAACGCATTACATAGTTCTAAAAGGCATTATCTTTTAGAAACTCAAACGTAATCATGAATGCGTTTCGACAGCCCTGATAGTAAGTAATGTCCAAAATTTGGAACACGAAAATTTGATTTGATGTTGCCCTGCAAAGAAGTGTAAGGGTTTCTTGCTGTAAGCCACATGCAAATTACAAGGAGGGGCACTTTGTGAGATTCGAGTAGCGCGAACAATATTTTTGGACCTCTACCTGTCATTTCATAGGGTTTTTCGTTCACAAATAGGTCCTTTTTTGTTAAGACTAGTACACAAATTGCAACTACGTTCGATCCAATTAGAGGCGTTTTTGCTACACTGATTTTGAATGCATTTATAAACAGCTAATATTTGCTTCTCATTTTAATTAACCATAATACTTCGAGTAAGTCGAAGCGGTTGTTTTGTAGCGGTCTGAGTTGCAGAGTACGTTCTTCGTTCGGAGTGTTGATTGTTATGTAGCTAATTTTGTCCAAATTAGTTGACGTCCGGAGAGAATTTTGGTGAATACTTTGCCTGTAAAGTAGTATGGTTTTTTACTTCCCTATGGTCGCGTTTTATCGCTCAGGTGTAAGCATTGGTTCAAATCGGCTATGCCGCATAGTGAGGAGGTATTTCTGAAATATGTCATTCCATGTGGGCTCCTAGTGTTTCGGCTATTTTCTGCTGTCGTGTTCTTGTTTGCGTTGCATGCATGGTTTATTAAAAGATTTTAATTATGTCTTTACTTCCATTGGTTTTGTTGAATGTCTCACCGTTAAGCAGTTGGATAACTTATTAATATGGATGGACCTGACCCATTTTACGTTGTGCGTGATGAAATAGTCAAGTCTTTGGACCATGCAAAGGTGGAATTCGAGGCATGGAAGCATGGCGTTATTTCGAGGTCAACTGATGTAAAGCCCCTTGAGACTGCTCTGAGAGAAACTGTCAGAAATATTGATTGGGACATTGAGGATCTTCAGGTGATTTGCCGTATTTTTTAGTTTTGTTTCTTTTCCTAATTAAATGAATTATTTTGCAATAATTGGTTCTAAATTTGGCTTCATTTCCACTTGAGGATCTCTTGAGTAAGCGGATGTATGGTCTATTGAGTTCTCACAATGTGCGCAATATTTTCATTAAATTTAACAAGCCTTACCGTCTGCATCGATCGTCTATATATGGTGATTTACTGAATCAATACAGATTTATTCACGAAATTCTTGTTTATAACTAGTCCACTCCTTAAAGCGCCATAAATGTCGCAGTTTTTTATCTTACGCAAAGGAAACGGTACAAATTGTGGAAAAGAACCCGTCAAAGTTTCGTATAAGTGTCGAGGAGCTGCGGTCACGCCGACACTTTTTGCAGGAGGTGAAAACCATCGTGAAAAATGTGAAGGATCAACTCTGTCATTCCAATGAGCTTCTCAATGAGAACCTTAAGAATATAGATTTTGACGTTGTGATCTCAACCAAAGCATCTCCCGGTGCTATCACGAATATCAGTGCCAAAAATCCTAGTTTTCCGTAAGTCTCTTCAGTTTTTTGCCTATCCCCGCTGGAGTCCTCTTCCTGTTTATAACGTGCTATTTCAATTCATATGAATAGTTTACTTGAAAGTTTAAGTAGGAGCTTTTGCCACAAAATGGTATCAGTACCTTTAATCCATTTAAGTGCATTAAGCAGTAGGAATCCTTACCATTCACACAAGTATTCTTTAAATTTTCATAATTAAATGACTTACTTTGGAATTTTGTAGTCATTTTCATTATTGAAAACAAAATCCATGCTATTTGTTGATACATTGCAGGCTGCTGGCTGATGTTATTACGCAACCGCATGATTTTTGCCTTATTGCAAGCTCAGAACTTATGCTTCAGTTTGAGCTAATTTGAATTCCATTTGCTTGCATCTTTTGGGGTCTGGTGTTTTTGATCCAGGAATTTTGTATGTTTCTTTTATGGAAGGTTGACAATCAACCTAAACAGAGCAACCGGAACTGGCTCCTTGACATTGTGCTGCTTTGTATGCTTTTGCGCAATCTTAAAAGCTCAAGTTGCATTAGATTGGCAGAAATAAATTTTCATGAGCTACCATCTTATTGCAAGTCTGGTCGGTGGATGAACTGAATGAAGTGTTTGGACAGCAACCTCATGCATGATTCTAAAAGCAACATTTCAGATTCAAATCGTTACCTTACGCGGTTAGCCAAAGGCGTTCCTATCGGCATACCTTCTTAACCTCTGTACCTATCGATGGGTGGGCATCGAATGCTTTGTGTGGTCGTTCATAAGGATTTTCACATACTCCTCAACCATTTACAGAATTGTCCAAAGAGCCATTGTATTATCCTTTTATTTTTTGTGTTGAAAATCCACCAAACCATTAAAAAGATCCGCCCTTTTCGACTGGACGCATAAGGGCTGGCATTATGAAGTTTCATCTACTGCAGGAATCGTAGCAACAAATTAGTTGCACTTCATTTTCGGGATACATTTTGTCTCTAGAGTATTTTACCCATCCTGACCAAGTTAGTTGATCTTTTTTTTGTTTGGGCTCCATTCCCACTGGGCCAAAGTTCAGTATCCCACGGTGATGTGGAGCTGCACAAACACAACAGCTGCTCGCTTGTGAATAGGCCATTTCTCACCGAATGCCACAAACACCACATCGAGACAGCCGCTTGTAACTGTAAGCAGCTGGATTTCTACTTTCCTGTTAGCAGGACAACTACTTTTCTACGTATTCTTTTGAAGTCTTTTTAGGTGGCATTCAATGCTCCCTGTGCTCAGTCATTCCAAAGCCTTCTCAGCACAAATAAACTATCTTATAATCTATGTCGTTACTTGAGTCATTCTGGTTGTTGTGAGTAGAGGTCGCGAATTTGACCGTCATACCTTAGCACTTAAGGTAGCTTTCGATATAGGTTTCAAGCTCTGTCGGTCCATAAAACATCGAATGGTGTTTGCATTGCTTCATACCTCGCATTCTTGGTCTGCAGTCTGATGTTATGGCCATTTTCAGATAGTAACGCGTTCGTTACATGAATGGAATAGCTAAATTCTCTGCTACGGTTTTCAAAATTCTATTTGATCTACCGCTGTTAAAATTTCGAGAAGCAAGTATTTAAAATGTCGCTTTTTTAGCTCGCATCCCTGAGATAGCTCGTCCTGTTTCAGTTTGTGGTCTTAGCCACTCCATCCTTTGTTATACGCTCGTAACCAAGGCGATGCAACAGTTGTCGCCACTTTCTGAAGCTACTCACTGCGTCCATGGTTATCAGTTCACCATTATCCATAAACTTCAAATCTTTAGTTGGGTCAAAGCAAACTGATGTGATGTTTACCGTACACTACTAAGTCATGTTGATGTCTTAGCGGTCAGAAGTGATGGTCCCATCAATTTTTCACAATCTCTTCCCAATCGTTCTTTTAATCTGTGTTATTCCTATTGTACCTGTTATTGGCAAGGTTTCATTTACTTGTTCTTTTGCCACTTATAAATCTGGTGCGAGCCTCCATTGAAGTGCAGATGCAACCAGAAGGAGAGATCATTATTTGCCGACAATCTTTTTGTTTTTGGCGTTAATGTTTGGCAGAGGGCTGTAGAACGTAGCAGCAACGTGAGAAACTAATTGCAATAATTATACCTTCCTCACCACTATTGTCATTCACATTCTCATAGTAGCTGTTTTCGCTTAATTTTTCACGAATTGACATATTTATCAATGTTAAAATACAGTGAGTATAAGCGTATAGAGTTGACAAGTGGGTATAGCAATCAAGTCACCAAACTTGTCATTTTAAATACGTATTTTTCTCCTTCACACCACGTCATAATTTTTTAAGATATAAAGTAACCAAATGGTCGTCTAATTAGAAAACAGCTTGACCGAACAACAGTAGTTAGGAGTCACCCCTTCCCATTCTGAATAGGCTAGCCATTTTCGTTAATTCAGGGAACTACTCAGCCAACTTTTATCCAGCCTTATTAGGTAATAGGTTGCCATAGTAATAGCTGCTACGTCAATCGCATAGTTAAGCCACTCTGGGTTAACTGGTTTTGTTGGATAATCGCGATGACATCTAAGAGCACCACATAGTTCTACCAGTAATGCAACATCGTGCTATCTGAGTCCTGATATTCTCCTGGTTTCTATGGCATGCTCTTAGGACTGAGATGGTGAAAGGGCAAACTGGTTGAATGAAACGTTGTCTCTAGAATGATCGAGGCAATGTTACATAGGAGTGAGGACATTAATCAAATCAATAGTACGAGAAGTTCATCTGTGACCGGAACTGTCTTCCCAATTGTGATGCTTTGTTAAATTGACACCATCGGTTTTCTAGTGAGTTATCGTGATGCATGGTTTGTTGTTGATTCAGATAATTCAGGAAATTGTCGTAATCTTTGAATCAATAGTACTTTTGGAGACAACCGCTTTTGCTAGTTGAACTTTTCATTTTTAGCTTTCGTATTGTGAGAAATTGAAGTGTTAGCTGTGCTCCCAGCCATGGATGTGAAGATGTCTCTCACTTGTTGACTCTATTTGTACTATCAGTAGTGCGAATCACGAACGGTCATTTCATTTTCTCTTTTCATCTCAACCCGCGCCGTTGGGCTTGCGAACGCCCTGAGAATCAATCAATATTCACCTTCGCCCAAACCAAGTGGTTAGGCGGACGTGCTAGCAAGTGGGCGCGTAAGCGGGTGGGCGAGCACAAGTTCCCACTACCGTGCCGATTTTATGACAGTCTGCCGTAGGCAAAGGAGTTGACGAAGTCAATTCACCTTATGCTAAGTAGAACTAGGTAATAGATTAAATAGTACGGCAGCCCACCACGTCTGAAGAACAGCACACGCAATGGACATCAACAAAATTAGGTAATTAGAAAATTTCCACCAAAAGTTGTTCTAGCTTTTGGATTAACATGGCTTTGAACGTTAAACCATGTTTGAATGCCAATGACGAAACTCCTGGAGTTATAGGCAGTTGGTGTTGTGATTATCCATAGTTTATTTGTGTAATCTTAGTGTAAAGTTAACGCTTTAATTCATTGCCGCGGTACTTGTAAAATAACTCGGAATCAGAGCAACTTTCAATTAGGTTTCAACTATCGGTGTTGTCTTCTGTATGGCAGATCGGCGGTGGAGGTGGAAATGGGTGGAGATGGCAATTTCACGGAGAACTTAAAGTGGCGCAGCGAACATCCAGGCACAGACGCGCCAGGCCTGTTGGCGGAGCAGGTTGCGCTGTTGCGCGAGCAGGACCAGCACCTGGACCAGCTTGGTTCAAGCATCTCGCGGCTCAAACAGATGTCGCACCGTATTGGAGGGGAGCTTGGAGATCAAGTGGCCCTACTGGATGAGTTTAGTGAAGAGATGACCCGCACGGAGTCGCGGTTGGACAACGCCATGCGTCGCGCGGCCCGCCTCCTCCACATTGATTCCTCACGCGCCCAGTGGTTTGTCATCAGCATCCTCCTCCTCACTCTCCTCATCATTCTCATCCTCTTCGTTATCCTCTAGCTTGTACCAAATACTCTCACTCATCTTTTCTTCTCCTAAGGTGAAGTTTTTTGTTGATTTTTCGTATCTCTTGTATCGTTTGTGTTGTGCGGTTGAACACTGCTGGTCCTAGCACCTCCTAAACTCCACTATTTTCCCCTCTGCAACGATTGTTAACTAACTTAACGGGTAATTTATTTGGAAATGTGATCTGACTGCGGCATATCTGTTGTTATCCTCATATTTATCCTGCTGGACTTTCATCATCCTTTAGATCGCTTTTGGTTTTGGTAAAATCCGGCTTGACTGCATGTTCATTGCAGTTATGGTTGTTGGAAGATCGTAAGTGTCAGAATCATTTTTGTGCGATCAGTTTCCGTTAGTACGATTGTAACTGCCACATTGAGTCATGGAATAAGACGTATGAAGGTGGTTTGCAATAACTGGGGGGACAGGAAATAAGTACCATTAAGTACTGTTGGCTTTGATTTTTGACGATAAATCCTTGTGCTCAATGCTCGTTTGATGTCTCTTAAACTGCCTTGTCAGATGGAACCGTCAAATTTAGGGCATTTTTCAGAGAGGATTTGGTGCAGGGCCTATAGGTCAACTACCAGTTCAATCTTTTTCGAAAGAAGGTCTTATACCCTGTTCATCATTCCATTTTTTGCTCACCAATCACTTGTGTTCGCTAAAGCGATTTGGATACCAAGTATGCGTTGCGATCTCCCTCGTGTCTGCGGTGCAAGAGATCTACTGTAATTGAAAATGACAATTATTCTTGTGCTACATGATCTGTTTCTAAGAGAGTAACTTAAGTTCTTGTCTAGGCAGTCATGGGTATTTTCTCCGGTTGTCATGGCGTCCTACGTCGCAGGCCATTGTATAGCAAAAATAAACATAATTTCCATGAGTAGTTCCTAAAGGCAAACAACTTGGACATAGTAATCCGGCAGAGGAAGGCTTTATAGGCCTGATACTAACTTGATGCCCCCATCTCCTGATTGCTGTGCTGTTTCTCCGAAGCCTCCAGTTTGTGGCTGCATTTCCAGAAGACGGCATCTGAAGTGGTATGGTTTCTTATTTCCTTTACTCTCAACATCCCGTTTAATAGACTACGCACTTTGAGTTCTTTAGTGCGATTTGAAAATTGGCCTAACGGAGGTTTTTAATCCACAGTGCAGTTAGCAAGGGAGACAGTAAATTTATGTTAAATGTCTTTTCAATCTGGAATCCTGATCCGTTCTCACTGATTAAGTCTCTTAAGTAACTTGCATTCTTTCTTGGAAATCTGCAGTTTGAGTGGATTGCGAAGTGGAGAACAAGCGTCATTGTAATTGCTACTCTTGGCCAAATGTTTATCATAATCTACCGTGACTTATAGACTAACTTTTGAACTTCACAGTCTGTCAAACTGAGAGCTGTCAAGATATGTGTTAATCACAGCTTCCCTTGCAGAAGAAAGGTTTTGTACCATCCTGTGTCCGCTTTGTGAGGGAAGGAGGTTTCTGTATAATGACGAGTCTGAATTCTCGACAGGTTTGCTATCTTTTTTGCCGATTAGTCACCATTCATTAAATGGATTTGCCTGAGACATTCCTACTTTTATTTAGCTATTTGCTGAGACTGCTAATACCCACCGTTTAAAATGTAGCTAACGAGTGACGCTACGGACACGCCAAGTGGTAGATTTATGGATTAAAATGAATGGGAAAAAAGTTATTTAAGTCATTCCTAGAAACAGTACCGTCACACCCAACCATGTTGAATTCTCCATCAAAGCGTAGGGCATGGAATCGTTGTCGAAGAGAGGAATAAACTAGTGTTTTGAAACTCGGGTTGTCAAAGAAACCACTGAGTGGTTAACGTATCTATCTATTGTTGGTTTATCTTGTCAGTAAGCTTGGACGGTTTGACGCATCCGATGCTCCTTTGCAGTAATGCATGAGCTTGTGTTTGAATATGTATGACCAGCGCTAGTGTTGATCGCGGCGATAGTGTATCACGGCTATTTGGGGCTCCAGTCTAGGTGCACATGTATTTCAGATTTGGTATGCACAGAACGGGAGAGGATGAATGAATTGGGACAGGTAAATCACATAAGAGAACTTTTATACTTCCTCAGCTTGGGTTGTGATACAGGTTAATTGCCATTATCTACTACCAACGTATCAAATGGATGGGTTACCATTTCTGAACAAAGGTGATGTATCCTTATGGTCATCCATCGCTCAAGTCTTACAGTGCCTCAAAATGTCCTAAAAATTGTAGGTTTGGATCTTATAAATTGAGTTGTCTACTTTTATCAAGACAGAAATTCCGTTTCATCTTATTCAATAAGTTGAATGATGCTATTGATAGGAACCTATTGGCATTATTTTCACACACAAGTTGTTTTGCCAAATGAACCTTCAAGCGGTTTTGTGTTTCCAATGGGCTGACGTATATATCCGTATCAAACTCTAAAGCATGCGGCCATTTTCAACCTTTGGGAAACGAGTCGACTTCGGAGGCGAAATTCTTTATGACACTTGGTTATAAGAGAGCAGGGCTGACATCGTGGGTGATTGTTTGAGAGCGGCATCACATAAAATGATCAATGCCATTTCGTTAGCTGCGTCATACTTACTTGATGATTGCTGCTAAAGTGACCGGGGTTATTGTCACCACCGGACTTGGGGACTCTCACAATGACCTACCAACTTTCATGCCCCAAAAGTAGAGCTTCTGGTCCAACCTCAATGACGCTCAGATAGGCACTATGCTGGTAAATCTTACTGAGTGTGACTGCTTTGAATTGTCAATTCCAAAAACATGGCAACTGATGTCTCACTAATTTTCTGCGCCTTTTTTATCTCACTGACGTGTTCACGAAACAAAGACGAGCACAAGAATCGTATGGACTTCAGCATATGTTGTTATCTTTGTCTTTTGATACCAGAAAGATGGCTTACTAGTCATTTGACTAAAGCAAATGGAAGATGGGTTGGTGATATTCACGCTTGGGTCATGGTTATGAACCCTAGGCCATTAGCATACTGATTACTGCAAACACATGCCGAAGCGGATGGAAAGGGTACAAACAGCTTAGAAATCGCCAAATGAATGAAAAGAAATTGGGGAACAGCGTCATTATTCTTCCACATCGTTAATTGTATTGTTTGAGTGGGAGTTTGCATACCCGCAACTTTGACCTCTTTTCTCTCTCCCTCATTCTTGCAAACTCGCCTTCCATTGACAGCAATTATACCTGTAAAAGATGGTCTTGGTAGTAGTAGTTTCGTTCCAGAGGAATCTGGTAGATTAGGCATATAAAAGGCAAATGCATTTTTTGCTGTAGCACAAGAGTGAGCCAATTAGTTTGGCGATCACGAAATCTAACGTTGTTGTTTGACATGGTTGAAAGTTAAGATGAGTGAAGTAAGCATACCTATATGCATTCGCGTGTAGCCTATGACACCGACAACAATGCGTTGAGAGGCACCAAAGCAGGAAGAAGTAACGATGCCCTCCAACACACAGCATTTGGTTGACGATGCTGTCATTAACGGCTTAATCAACGGCTTAGATTTCTTTAGTTTACTAAACCTTATAGTAATGCTCGATAGCAGTACAGAAAGGGACGAAGCAATTCGTGGCTTACTGATGTCCGTGGTAAACCGCTTGCACCGATAGTAGAGAAGTGGAAACAGAAGAAAGGTTCACCACCTTGGGAGACGTCTGATGCTCCATGACCATCAAATGAAGATGTTAAAGATCAATGGCATGATCCAACTGCGTTGAACCATTTACCGGGGCGCACACCTACTTATCATTGAGTAAAGTGTCACTTCTTTCCTCTTTTGATCTTTTTCAATACATGACTCTTGTAACAAAGGCTTGTCAAACCCAGACCTATTAACATCAACTGAAATACCTGCGGCTATCTACCTTTTAGGTATGCAGAAAGTGAAGTCCCTTGTGCGTTATTTTTAGGTAGGAGTCTCGTCACCCAGTCAATTCTCTCTCACCCCATTGGACGAATCGACAAATCAAAAGTGGCAGTGCCTTTGAACGTTTACCCCATTGGTAGCAGCGTTTAATGGAGGAGCTGTAGCTCAAACAGTTCAAAATTTGAGTGTACATTGTGTCAGTTAGGATTGGGAATGCACTTCTTTTCTTGTCCTAAACACTGTTAAATCACTATGTGGAAATGTGATACATCGGTATTAGATTAGTTTATTCAAACTGTTAATTTCTCCAGATCGAAACCTAACACGTTTATGCGAATGGGACTTTTAAGTGCCATTGGGCTTTGTTTCTCATACGTGTCCAGACAACTCACCCGGCAATTCGACTATGTAAAAAGGAACCTTACAAATTACTCATGATCATTTTAAACATTTTAAAGATTAAGTGCAAAATTTGCGGCTGAACAACCGCTTTCTCTGAACCTTGAAGGTAGCTCAAAATGTGTGTACAAATATTTTGAAGCGCATGTAAAAATGGGTAACAAAGTCCTACTATGAAGTGAGCCAAATAAATGGGCTGTGCGATAATCACACCAACAGTTTAACCTTTTAGACACTAAATTAGCCCCGATATTGCCCTTTTAGTGGTGTACAGGAGCCTAAACCCTGTGAATGCTGAAAGCGCAACTGGACGTAGCCAATTTGCTGGCAACTTGGCGAATGACTCGGACTGCTTTTTGCAAAACTAATCCGACTGTGCTTTAAAGCGCATTTCTCCTAACATCCTTTTTGTGAATAATGCATTGAGCTTGAACTTTAACGTCAAGTTACCCAGTAGTGCACCAAATGTCTTGTCGTAGGTTCCTTATTTTAAAAGATGTCGTTAGGTTTTACTTAATGTGGGACTCAATTTAAGACTCGGGACAAATTTCTAAACTAGGCCGGCTTAGTTTTCGCGACCTGACTAAGCGGATCGGAAGGAGAATGTGAGCATCGCACTTGCGCACCATGAAAAATAGCTTTGAAAAACCTCTCACGAAAGGCTTGGTTAGCTAGATGCGCATTCCTCAT